AGATTAATCAATCTAATGAAATTCATTTATTTTTGGTAATTATCATTTTAATTTAACATTACTAATTTTTTAATTGGATTATCTAAAAAGAATATTTAATCAATCAAATTATTGATCTTATCAGATGATGACTAAAACTAATAATAAACAAACAAATATATCTAAATTGTTATTCAATTACTTTTATTTAACATTCTAATTTAATATATACCACTTATTCAATTGACATTTATAATTCTATAAAAATTATTAATCAACATTTAATAAACAATTTATAATTAAGAATTCAAAATATAATAAAATTACAAATAGAATTGAAATATTAAAGGTGTTAAAAGGATAATTAACCTTATTTCAAATATATATTTTTTGTTTGTTTAGAAGACGAAGGGTGTGAAGAATTATTTATCCGAAAATGTACTAAAAGGGAAATATTTAAAGCTTTCCTTAATCTTTCATTAGATGGGTAACCAGGGATTTAGCTTTTTTGATTATGAGATGAATTTTGTAGAATTTTTAGTAATTGTATAAGGAATGATGAGATGTTTAAAAATAGTTTACTTTTTTATCTTATTAAGCCTTGAGCATATTAAACTTACGGTGGATAAATTTATTATTAATAAGATTTATCAACATATTGATGAATAATAATGAAGATTTTATAATAAAAATGTGATGAAGATTATTGTATTTTAACATCAGAAGGCATAATGAATGATTGGATAAATGATACACATTAAAAGTAGGCAAAGTAAATGATTTAATTACTTCTTCTATCGTCAGATCGGTTTTAAGATAAAGTTTAGAATACATAATAAATTCTTAGAGTAGTTCTTTTATTAATTTATGATTTACAATGAATCATATTAAGTTTAGTGAAAAATCTATATTTCTAAACTCTCATAATCAATGTATTTTGGAAATAGGATTAGATTATTAATTTGTTACTCACTAACAATCAACTATTTAGATATGCATGGAAGCCTTTTACATTTGAAAATTTCTTCCAAGTTACATAATTAGGTACAGAATAACTGTAAAGGATGCAATAACTTTGAGGATAATCAAAAATTTAATTATTAATTACAAAAAATATAAAGTTATAAGAAAAAGTTAAAATTAATTAAGCATAATTG